TACAGCTGCCCCCGTGGGTTTACCCGACTGGAACTCTTTATGGGAGCAGAAAGCCCCATCTTTCTCCATCGGCATGTGGCCAGTGGTTTCAGACTGCCGACCCTGAGAATAACCACTACACCACCAGGGCTCCTAGCCAAACAAACAACAGACAGGTCTCTACCATCAAGACTACTGGACTCCAGGGGGGTGCCCACTTCTAGAATAACCAGCTACTGGAGATCAGAAGGGCAGCATTTGCTTGAGGACAAGGGGCAAAAGGCAGGGAGGGGTTGGGGAAGAAGGAGCCAGCCGGGAGAACAGGAACCGGGAGGAATGGGGAGAGTGCTGTCCATGGAGCCAAGGGGCCATTGCAATCAGGACCGTGCATGGGTTTGTTGCAAAGAGCCCTGTCAACCTTCATCCTGTTCACAATAAAGCAGCACTTCTTGACCTGTGGGCTGCGACCCCTTTGGGGGCCGAACGACCCTTTCACAGGGGTCGCCCAATTCATAACAGTAGCAAAATGACAGTGATGAAGTAGCAACGAAAAAAATGTTATGGTTGGGGGGGGGTCGCCCCCACATGAGGACCTGTATGAAAGGGTCAAGCGGCATGAGGAAGGTTGAGGACCGCGGCAATAAAGGGTTAAATGACAACACAAACCACACATCCATCTACTCTACTCGCTCTGCGTGTATGTCACCCAGTTGACTGGTGTCCAGCATTCCCCTTTACAGAAAAGAAAACTGAGGCCCAGGAAGGAGGAGTAACTTGCTGCGGGCCACCCAGGAGGTAAGCAAGCGGTGGAGCTGGGTCATCTGGCCCCCCAAACCCAAGCTCCCCAACCGCCCTCCCATAGGGTGGAAGTGCCTTACTAAGGGCCCAGTGCTGGTCCTGCCGCGCTCTCTTCAAAGAAATCCTTGTTATCTTTCGCTTCTCAAATGAAATCTTACTCAGGAGTTAATACAACAATCAACCCAGCGATACCCAATTTTATCAATCATTTCCTCTACTCCAGGGCTGATTCAAAGCACATTCATTGCATGAATGCATCACCCTCCTGCCCCCTGGGCCCCTGGATGGGCTGCTCAGAGCTGGCTGGCTTCCTTTAAGACCAGCAGAGAGGGCCTCTACCCGGGAGTGAGGGGGTGGGGACTGAATGGAGCAGCTTCCTTCCTTTTGGGCACCCACCAGGGTACCCCACACCCATGGGCCACCTGGCTTTCACGCCTCATCACAGCCCCATTTGTACAGACCGGAACTGAGACTAGGAGCTATTAAGAAGCTTTCCTAAAGGAACACAGCTCCTGGGTGACAGAGCCAGCACTCAGATCCGTTGCCCCAGACTTCACAGCTCATGCTCTGGCCACTCTGACCCCACATACAATGCCTACGGACAGGACGGCTCTTTTATTCTGGGTGGTGTGAGAGGCAGGGGTGCGACCCAGGGGCAGTTTTGAAAACTGCTGGTCTAACCCATGCTTTGGTTTGACAGAGGGAGTAATGGGGGTGGGGGCAAGAAGTGGTGATGGGGGTAGGTCTGACACAGGCCTCGAACCTAAGCGTCATCGTGGTTTCCACCTAGGCTGCCTCCTTTACACGTCACATCCACCCCACCAATGAGTGGCCGTCAGGATTCAAGCCCAGGTCCCTTGACATGCTCCCACTGGACTGGACTGCCCCGTCCAGCAGCAGTCTCAATTCCATCCTCCCTGACACTGGGTCAACTCTTCCTGGTGATAGCTGCAGAAATAAGTCCACCATCCTCTTCCCCAAGCTTGTTCCTCCAGAGCAGGGGTCCTCAAACTTTTTAAACAGGGGGCCAGTTCACTGTCCCTCAGACCATTGGAGGACTGTACTATAGTTAAAAAAAAAACTATGCACAAATTCCTATGCACACTGGATGCTAAGCAGGACAGGCAGCGGCGGTAAAAACACCAGGCGGGCTGCATGTGGCCCACGGACTGTAGTTTGAGGACCCCTGCTCCAGAGACACACTTTGGATCCTCGGAGAACATTTGCACCCACAAGCCTTCTTTGCTTTGGGCCCCAAGTCCCTCAACTTTGATCCCGGTCTTCCTTTCAGTAGAGATGTTTATTTATGAACTAGTTTAAAATCAGGCTGGCCTGCTGGAGGCCTGTGACCAGTGGGCTTTGGACCTTTGTTACTCAAATTGTGAGCCTACCTAGCAGCCCCTTAGAGCTTGTTAGAAATGCGGACACCCCAAAGCTCCTAAATTAGGATCTGCTTTTGAAGAAGATTCCCCAGGTGATTCAGTTGCAAATTAAAGCCTGCCAAGCATCCCAAGGGAAACAGGTTAAGGCCCACCCCCCTAACTGGCCCTCTGTGGCTCTTGGTTTGGTTGTTAGGGGCAGCTGGGAGTTGGTTGATGCTATTGTAAGAAAAACCTTGGATATTAAATTGCAACCTCAGTCTGGGGAGATTATTGCAACAAAGAGAACCCTGACTGTCTTATTGCAACCAGCATCTGCACAGTGGACTGAATGAGAAGCCCAAGAGATTTCTTACAAGAATCTGCAAGTCTTAGTTGCCACATGATGCAACAAAGTGGAGAAATGGGCAGGCTTCTTGGTTTTGACTGAATCCGGTTGCACTAAATTGGAAAACGGTTTTAAAAGAATATTTAAAAAAAACAAAAAATATTTGCTTTGCCACCAAAGCTGGACATTTTATTTACCTGTCCCTGGCCTGGACAGGCAAAGGACACGTGTTGTGACATTGGGACACACCTTTGCAAAGTCTTTGAAGTCTGGTGGCAAGCTCCTCTCCTAACAATGGAACAACAAAGAAAAGTGTTGGCCTGACAGAATGTGGACTATCACACCAACTGCATTTCAAACTGGAATGCACTGTAGAGTAAACAGGGATTGGAATCTAGTTGCCCTGTTGCAACAAGTTTGGATTTGCGACGGAAACATCGACAAGCGTATGGCCAAGGGCGTGCATGGCTCCTTCATTGCAACAGGACCGTGCGGCGGCGTGCCCCATTGTGCCAGCAGCTGGCCGGAGAGGCTGTGGATCAGGCCAGAGGGCCTTCTACCACAAACGCGAATTACACCGAGAGGCCAAATGCTTTGCCACAGGGATAAGGACAGCCAACTGTGTTGCAGGACTGTAGAGAACAAGTGCAGGAGCCCTTGGGCTGCTAACCGCCAAGGTCAGCGGTTCAAAACCACCTGCCGACTAAAGAGAACAATGGGGGTTTCTACTCCTGTAAAGAACTCCAGTCACAGAAACTCACAGAGGCAGTTCTACCCTGTCCCACCTCCACGAATGATAAGCAGCCACTGGATGCTTCAACAAGCTTCTGGCAGGGCAGTCATGGTATCCTGTGCTACACTTGAGGAAACAGGCTCAGAGGGTTATCTGGTGAATAGCAAGTGGGGGAAGGGTGAGACGAAGCCCTCAGCCTTTGGTTATACAGTGAGCTTTCTTACAGGGGCAACTCTGCCTGTGCTTTGCAATAGAGTCAGGTCCTGTGTGGAAAGAAAAACATGCATGATTTACCTCCTCAAACCTAGTATATTTTGTTGCAAAGTTATAAGGCTCTGGATATGCTATATAAGGTCAAGATCCAAAATATCTTCTAGGAGATCCGTGATTGTTGCTGGTAGGTGTAGGCAAATGGGTTCTTACTCCTCATAATGCTGTGTACCACAGAAAGGAAGTCCTGCAGGTGCTGGGCCAGCCTCACAGTTATGTCTGAGCCCATGACAATAAATCACATGCAATTACAATAAAGCCATGACTGACCTAATGGAAAGAGACCAAAATTGTTTGGACTTTTTTTTTTTCTCCCAAGTTTGGACTCTTAATTGCCTCTGGGCATATAATCTCGGCTGAAAATGGAGCTTCCTAGCGTTGAGCAACCATATTCTTTAAGATTCAGGTTTGAAAAAAAAGATTCAGATAAAAAAATCCCTACCTTTGATAAGCCTCCTCAAATTCCCTCACTCCCCACTGGTCAAAGAGGTAAAGCCTGGCTCCTCCCATCCTCACTGCTTGAAAGTTCTGGCTTTATGGGCAGGACACTGTCTTTCCCCACTAAGACAGACCTGACCTGTTCTTTACGGGAGGGCTTGGCCAGAGGGTCACAGTGACCAGCTCTATGGCAGACATTACCATAATGAACCAGGATATCACGAATATACCTGGAACGTGGCCACTTTGTGGCCGCCAACCCCTCAGACACCTCTTGGCCACCAAACTGTAGCCATGCCTCCCTAACAAAGGGCCATGCACTGGGCCAGAGTTCAGAGGTTTTCTTAGTCACCCACAGACTCTGAGCACGTCGAGGCCCAGGCCAGACGTCTGTGTGCGCAGTGGCGCCGAGAGTCCACCCCTGGCCCCCAGGCACCTAGCACGCTGTCATGCCCTGTGGGCGCCCAGGAGGAAAAATTTGTGGATTGGGATGGGGCAGAGAGGGCAAGGGAAACACTGCAAATAGATGCCGACACTTGACTGCGCCCGGCCAGCAGTTGGGAGCGCCCTGCGGGGCCGGGGGAGGGGCGAGGGCCGCTCCGTCCAGCGGGGCGCCAGTTCCTCCCGGGCGGGCAGGCACCCACCGACCGCGGGCACACAAAGCCTGCTCGCCGCGCTCGGCGATCGACTCCCCACGCCTGCGCCGCCGCGCGCCTCCAGGCGGCTCCGGGTTGGGCGGCGGGCGGTGGCAGGCACCCGCGTCCGATAGCTGCGCGCATCGAACCGCCGCGGGAGGGAGCGCGAAGGCGGGGGACGCCGGAGGAGGAGTGGGAAAGGGAGGAGGGAAGAGGCGAGGGAGCGGGGACCGGGCGGGGGGTGGAGGAAGAGGCCTCGCGCTGAGGAGGGAGCAATTGAATTTCAAACACAAACAACTGCCCGAGCGCGCACCCGCCCGGCCGGAGCGTTGCCCCCTGTGCGCGCCCGCCCCGTCGGTGAGGCGCACCGAGAGAGACGCCGTGGCCGCGCCGGAGGTCGAACCGGGGGCCACCATCGAGGCGGGGGCCGCGCGAGGGCCGGAGCGGAGCGGCGCCGCCAACGCCGCACGCGCAAACTTGGGCTCGCGCTTCCCGGCCCGGCGCGGAGCCCGGGGCGCCCGGAGCCCCGCCATGTCGCGATCCAACCGGCAGAAGGAGTACAAATGCGGGGACCTGGTGTTCGCCAAGATGAAGGGCTACCCGCACTGGCCAGCCCGGGTGAGTAGCGCGCCCCGTCCCCGCCGGGTTTGGGTTGCATAACACCCGCGCGGTACTGGCGCTCCGTGCCGAGGGAGGCGGGGGGAGGGCAGGGGGCGTCAGGGTCCCCCGGACGCTCTCGCGGTCGCCTGCAAGCCCACCCGCTGGTTATATAACAGTGGCGGCAAGGGGGAGGGGGCCCCCGAACACCTGGCGGGTACAGCGTCCGCGCACAGGCGCGTGTGCGGCGTGGGGCTCCGAGGGCGCGGGTCACTTCCCAGCCACGCGCCGCGTGCTCAGTGCCGCCCCCAACCCCCACCCTGGCTGCAGTTTCGGGCTCGATCCTGCGTTTGGGCCGGTCTCGGAACTCCCTCCGCCCCACGGCCAGTGCCCCCTCTACCTCGGTACTTCGGGACCCGCGTTAGAGATCCCGAGCTTCCCCACCGATTGAAGCCCCTCCCTGGTACTCTCTTTAGATTAAAGGTTAGGGAGGATTCAGCCCAGAGGACTAGAGGGGAGCAGAGTTCGCTTCGAGAAAACTTTGGTTTGGGGCATCCGTAGGAGGTCTGAAGTTGGGAGGGTCGAGGAGGAGTTGAGGGCGACGTAAGGTGGCGGGGTGGGGGGCAGTCTCCCTGGCTCAGACCTGGTCTTACAAAACCCTCCCCGCTGCAGCCTCATAAAAATATTCCTCTATTTGCTGCCAACTCAAATTTGAGATTTGAGGGTGGCAGGGCTCCTGTGAGGCTGGCAAGCCTGGCCTAGACTGCCTGCCTCTTAGTCGGGGCAGGGGGGGTGCCCCAGTTGCTCCTATTCCCCTCCCCCAGATACAAGCATATGCCGCCAGAAGGCAGGCGCAGTCCACCATGTGGTTGATCAGCCCGCCAATATGGGGTCCGTGCCTGCCCGCCCCGCCTTCCCAGCACCTGACCAGGTGGGAGGGTGGAGTCCCAAGCCCAAGTCTGCCCTGTTCATTGTTCCCCAGGACTGAGACCAGTTAAAGTCAGTGGCAGCAGTGCTTTGGAGTGGGGGAGGAGAGGAAGGGGGTGTCACAGGGGGCATCACCTCTGGCTACTTCCTGCAAAGTTGTGGAGGGGCCTTTCACACTGGGTGAGGGTATGGCTCTGTCCCTCAGAGTGAAAACCTGGAGCCACGGATGCAGGGCGGGAATCTTCTAGGGGCAGAGCCCCAGTGCAGGACTGATTTTTGTTTGCTTGTTTTTGCTTTGGGCTTCTCTCCTTAGAGTGACTCTGGGTCTCTTCAACTTACCAAACCGGGCGGAGCTTAGGAAATGACCCCAGGCTCCCCGGGGTCCAGCTCAGGGTGTCAGGCCAACATTGGGGGAACCACTGTGTGGAAACCCAGGAGGTTCTTCTCCGAGTTCTCTCTTTAGAGAGCGTGCCTCAGCTCATGTGCCCATGCCCTGAGCTCCTGAAATTTCCCAGTGGGCACAGTAAGCCTGATCTCTGCAGTGGAAGGGTGTTTTGGAGGAAAGCAGGCGCGCCCCAACTTCCAGGGCCTATTGAGGGATGTGGGACAGTGTGAGGCGGCAGCCACCGTCATTCTTGTCATTCTTGTGTATACATGCGTGCGTGTGGCATGTGAACACTTGTGTACTTTTACCCCTCACTGTTGATCCGACTGGCTTTTTGTCCCAGATGCCAAGGCCTTGGCTGGTAGGGCAAGAACTGAGCCCAGGTCTCTGCTGCCCCAGCTTCCTGGGGGTGAGGCAAAGTTCTGAGGCTGGGCTGAGCCTGGGGAGGGGGCCTTAGTTGGAATGTGAGTTGCTGGGGGCCCCTTTTGGATCGGGAGACAGGAGAGACGCAGGGCCTCTCTGTGAGAGACCCACAGGAGATGCTCCGCGGCGTTCCTGTAGGCCTTGGGGTGAGGGCAGGGGCTGGGACTGACATCTGGGAAGCCCAGACTCTGCCACTGTGGCAACCTGGGCCTTTTAGATAGTGGTGGGAGGGAGAGTATACTGGATCCCAACGAGATAGGGCCTCACCCTTTAGCCGTCCCCTGACTTCATTGTGATAATGGGGAGGAGGGGGGACACCCACAGCAGTCACCTGCCTACCTCCCAGTTGCACCCCATCACTCATGAGATGAATGAGGAGCGGGAGGGAGCCCTGCTGACTTCCCCCTCAACTAGAGGGCCAAATTCCTGACTCAGGATAACAGCCACTCTGCCCACCTTCCTTTTCTCGGCTGCCTGTTGCATGTGCCCACGGGCCCCAGTGGGAACCCAGGAGAGGGCCACGTGGTGGGCAGGACCTGCCTGCAGGGGTAGGGTGACTCCATCTTAACCTCCTCCTTTCCCTCTTCCCCCAGTCTTAACTTCCTGGGGTGGGGGGTTCTCCCAGGGCCTAAACAATTGACCTCCAGGACTCAAGGAGTTTTTTTCTCTCTCTCTCCTCTCCCAGGTTCCTTCCTTTTTTTCCTCTACTTCCTGTTTCACAATCCCAGAAAACCTGAGCAGCAAGAGGGCCCTTGCTGTTTGCCATCCCCCACAGCTAGGACCCCCCCCCCCCACACACACACACACATACACACACAAACACACATCCTCCTCTTCTTCCTCTAGGGCCTGCCACAAGCTCTTGAAGCCCTGGCTGCCTCCTGGCCCAGGTTTTCTGGTTGGGCCAGGGCCCTGGGTGTGGTGGTCAGGGCCGTGGCTGGCAGCCAGTGTGGGCTTAGCCTCCCTGCCCCGCCACCCGCATCAGCACTGGGCAGGTGACCCTGGGCCTGTGTTTGGTCAGAGGCTAGAGGAGAGGTGTTGGATTCTCCCCATTTCATCTTCAGTCCTTGGGACTCCTGGGAGATAGGAGCTGTGCGTGTGTAGGCCTGTCCAGCGAGGCCAGGCAAATCCAGAAGGCCTGGGGTGGTGGGCTGGGGCCTAAGCAGAGAGAAGCCACTTTCTGGGACCCTTGGCCTGACGCAGACATAGCAGTGCCTCTCCCCCTGCCCCCCCACCCCATGGTGGCCAGTGGAAGGGGTCCCAAAGAGTCATCTGGCTGCACCCTGACCCACTTAGCTTCGACTCACGGGATCTGAGTCACACACAGCCTGGATATAAAGGCACTGCCTGGGAGACATATTGGGGTCCCTGTACTCCCCTGAGACTTCACCTCCTCTAAGAAGAACCACTCTTGTAAATGCAGCTAAGGTAGCTATTTCCTTTGGCTGGAGCAGCAGATTCCACTACAAAAGGGGGGGCTCCCTTAGGGAGCGATGGGTTGAAATCCTACAAAACGAACAGCTGGCCTCCACTCTTCTGGGTGCCTACCCTCAAGGTGAGGTAGGGGGAGGAGCGACCCTTTCAGGGAGAGGTCCCTGCCCAGAGCCTCTTCCTCTCCCCGCTAGACCCACCCTTGGTTTGGACAGAAGTCCGCAGAGCAGGTATATCTGGCAGGGCTCCTTCCTTGTTTTCAATTCAGTTCCCATCCTTTTGTTTCTACCCCACCCCTGGAGTTGGGCAAGCTGGTGGCCTCCTGGGTCCCCAGTCACAC